AAGAGTTACACCCACCCACAGCACTTAGGTAATAAAACCAAGAAAGTAGTTTTAAGGAAGCCCGTGACAGCCATTGCAGCCCCATATTACCCGTTGCAAAACCCTCCTTATTACACGAGACAAACAAGTTATTCGTTTCAAATTGAAAACTTTCCACCCCACTAGCCATGCTGGGGCTGTGGCCCATAAATTCCCGCCAATTTTGTTTTATTTCGCGATGCAGGCACGGTAATAAAAGTAAGCTGGACGTGAGACAAAGCCTCTAGCCGGGATTACTCGGCCATCGCAATGGATCACTGCAGCCTGTGATATCGTGTCTAAACAACGACACCTGACTACTGGACACACCCACCTCATTTGCCAATATGAATACTAAAAGGCTTTATGATACGACCAACGGCCTTGTTCACGAAAAAAGAAATCCCTCTTAAAACTCGTCGCACTTTGAAAAACATATCCATGAAACTATACTCCAAGTTTATGGCCGAATACATAAAAATATGTACCTTAACCTCGGCTCGGCGAAATTTGGCTAGAGAACACTTTTTCTGAGCAAATAAAATCGTACCTTCATACATTTCGTAGAGCCAATATTAAAGGACTGCGACGTAGGCGGTTAAATATATCCGATAGCATGCCACTACTAAATGTTTCGAATAAAATAGTGCATTTGACGTTTGTATTAGTAAACAGGTGCATCCTGCTGGAGTGCCTCCAATCTCATCTGTTGTTGTTGGCAATGTACCGAGTGGCCACATGTGCGATCCTTACTTCACGCTCATTGTTGCATTCTTTTCTGAAACGTGTCGCGTAAGCACGAATTTAAAGTAGATAAGTAAACAAATATTCTTGTGCTTTCTTTCAAAAGCTTCCTTTTTATTTTCTCTTGTCGGAAATCGAAGGTTATTTCAAACATTGCTGGAGTCGTTTCTCTGTCTGGCGAAAAGTACTCGAATAAAAATGTACAAAGTTTTATAACGCTACAAATACCGCGGCCTTAATGAAGTGTGTCCGCTCGTACCACAAGCTGCGCTTTAAGGAGTGCCAGGTGAAAGCAAGCTCTTTTTATAGAGACTAAAATAAAATCGCCACGCGTGAGTAAGGAGAGGTCCCAATGGATGCAACCACAACAATCACACGATGAATACGAAAACATCCCTTATCACAAAGCTCTAAAGTCGGTATTCAATGTAACCGCAGTGTGTCTGTGAACAAAACAATACCTGGTTTACGGATAGGATTGCAAACAGTTGCTGTGTCCAACGGTTATGATCCGTCGTTTCAGCAACACGCCAAATTTGGTCCCGTCATAAAAATAAAAAGTAAAGTAGTCTGGATAACACATGCTCTGAAGATTATCTATACGACACACAGAGCCAGGTCGTGAATAATTCAGTCTACACTTGCGAGCCAGGACGAAATATAAAAATGAAGTGCTTCTAAATATCGGAGCAGGAGTACATAAAGTCGTCCCACTAGAAATCAATATGAGCTACAAAACAACACGTAAAACAATAAACCCTGAAATAGTTAATGTGCCAAGAAGGAGCGTGGGAGCCAATTAATTTTTGCTGAGACCTCGGTTTATGTTTTCCCGGATAAATAAGGAGATTTAGCAGCGACGCCCAGAGCCGCCTCATAAAATGGCTTGCTCGTAACCGGCCGCGACCAGTCCCCTAACTAACGATTCTCGATAATGTTACAATAAGTCTGGATTTTGTTGCTAACCAAACCAATACAAATAACAATGCCAGTATGCAGACTGTTCATTGATTTACTAGAATGACGAGTCGGTAAGGAGAGAGAACACTGACTGCATGAAAAAGTTTAAAAACACATGCAGATATTAAAATAATATTTAAGCCTCCAAATATTTTTTCATGACTTCGTATAAAACTTTTTCAATATAAACATCATAAACAAAGTTACGACTCTCGGTACTTTTGATGGTGCATCAAATTGCACCGAACATACAAGAGTCATTCGAATGCATTTTATTTTCGTAGAGTAGACGCGGAGGCCGGGCGATGACTAAATAATGACCAGGATAACGCAGTTTTATTGCCGCCTCCGTGTTGCGAATATATAAATGAACCCTCGAGGGAGTGTTAAAGACGCCGCCAAAGAACTCCTGTCGAAACAAGTCGGGCTCAGAGAAATGGCGCAGTAAACCACCCCATCCGCTGAGACGTCATTTTGCTCTTTGTACGAAACTGCTGTTTGGAACACAAAAAAAAATAATAAGAATTGTATATTTGTACCAACGAGCCAATTTTCAGAAACGATCGTTGTTGGCTAAATAAATTTTGTTTGTGAATTGCAGTTATTTTGTTTTGTTAACTGTGGTTAATGAAGAAAAATTAATTTAGTAACTTACCTTAAATATTTTTTAGCATTATGCGATCAAACCACTAAGTAAAACTATTTAGGTACGTGCAAAGTAGAAAAATGACGTTCAGGCTAAGTGGTTTTAATAAGAGTTTTTTTTCACTTCCACATCCAATATCCTAGAACAATATGCTAAATTAACAAACTTCAGTTGACGAAACTCAAATTGTAAACCAGGGTGAAAACTTATACAAAATATGGAGAGCAAATAGCAAGTGAGCACGAAAATTAGTTTATTTTATGTATTTAATTATGGCAGTTGTGTTCACGGCTCCAATTCAAATTGTGATTTCACGGTGTTAAAATATTAAAACTTTAATTGTATTCCGGCGCCCGACTCCATAGCCGTAAAGAAGTCAGAGAGGTGCTCCGTTGATACACTATTAATGCAATTGTTCGAAAACAGCGCGGGGCAATAAAATTTAGCCTTCACGTAGAATATTCCGCCCCACTTCGCAGCCGTAGCCATAATTTTTCGCATTGCGGATTTCAGGTAAATGTTTTTCATTACTTCATTTTACATTTTTACGACTAATGAGATTGTTTAAAACAGGAAAAGATTAAGTGCTGATTAAATAAAATATCAACTTGATTAAAAAACGAATAAATGTGGATTTTTATTAGTGTTGGCAATAAAATTCTGTGTAATAAAGTACAGTTAAGTTTTTATCAGTTTGTTTAAACGTGAAGGTTTCGATTTCTATCTTTTTGTTAACTGGCAATGCTTTAAATAAATACTTTTATCAATACAGACTTGAAATGTTACCTACTTACATTACATGTTATAAAATTCACTTATATTTAGACTCAGAGAACTAATAATACACACACATCCCTCAATGATAAAAAATCCACGTTAAAAGGTTGGTCCAAAAATAAAAAAGCTTGGCATTTATTTTCAAAAATATTTTTCCATCGTGGCTGATATTTGTATTTTTGAGCATAGTCAAAGCTACAGTTTTATTGAGCCCTTTTTTGCAACCGAAAAATTGTTAAATTATTTGGGATTTCAGAATTCCGTAGTCCTGCAAACCAACCAGGTAGTTTTTAGATTTTATTTCAATGTTATCTATTGTTACTCAATCAACTTGAAGTGTAAATAGGGTTGGATTCAGAATCATTATTTTTATTCAAAATTCGTAATAGTGCCACGGTATAAACGAAATTCATAGATTGGCTACTAAGAGGCCATATCATGACTAATTTCTTGTTGTTCAAATTCATATCTTCTACAAAATCAATATAGAACGTTAGTTAACCCTACCTTTCTGCGTTTTCAATACCACAGTTTATTTTAAATCAAATAATATTCAACAATGTCCTACGACGCCAATAGAAATAACATTTTCGAAAATCTCCTTCGTCATTCAAAATCCATATAAGCCAGTGAACCACTGGTGCCTAAAACTACACAGTAATAAAACGCAATAACAACCATTAATGTCTACAAAAGCATTTCACTTGACATTATCAGGAAACAAAAGATATTTAACGTCAGTTCTAGAGAGCCACCAGGTCCTGTCAGGAAATTCTAGTGATAAATTAATTAAAGGTTATTATCGCTTGACCGTCATCTCGTGTTTTAAGTTGAAATGCAATGTGAGAGTGGGAGTATGTTTTGGTATTATAACTCGTATGACCATGTTACCCTGAAGGTAATTTTGTTTAAAACATAAAAATAAAACTTGCTATGGAAAGAGTCTACTTCAAAACTTTTAGATAAGAGTAGGTAAATGAACCAAAGCGAAATATATTAAAAATAAAATAGCCAAATGATGAAAATAATACATTTATTTAATTAAATTAACATTTTTACATAATTAATTTACATCGGACGATATAATGTTTATTTTATTGTAACAATAATATTTATTTACAAAGAAAATAGTGATGTAACAACTAAATAACACTCTAACAATATACGTCCCATAAAATAATGACTGAAATTACCATAATAACATAAAGTATAATACATTTTCGAATAACGTTTTATCACATTTCTCATATATCGTAAAATTTCTATTGCAATGCTTTGGCTCTTCTTTATTTATATCCTGCAACAGTTCTACTCCGTCTGTTATTCCCAATAAATCTAAAGTAACAATTTAACAGAATTTATTTATTATATTTCCATAAAATCTTTCTTTGGATGTATCCATAGCGCTATTCTAATATTTGTTATTGTTACTCTGTACTGTTCAATTCTTTCTACAACTTTCAAAATTGAATTCGTTTTGCAAACTAAACAAAGAGTTTTTATTTATTTTTCTTTGTTATTCTTCCACTAAAACTATAAACTACACCTAAAATAGTATGGTACAAAAGTGGGTTAGTTACATTAAAAATATCTTTATTGTGATTATTTAATTTACAATCCTGAATACAAGGATTCAATGGTATCGTTATCAGTCGATCAGAAATCAATATAATGACAATCCTCTTTAAAATTCTGATATATTTTAAAATTACTTCATCAAAATTTGTTCGTTTATTTTTGAGCAACGTTGCCACATTTAAACACACACATTCCCCTGTCGTGTGAAATTGGGAACTTAGTCCTATTTCCTCTGCAGGAAAGTCAAGAAAATCAAGTTTGCTTTAATATGTGGCACTCATTCACAGTACCAGGTAGTTCTTCTTACTTTCTTATCAGCGATTAACCTCTTGACCTCTCCTGGCACTCCTCGCAGAGAATTATCTGGAATTAACAATTAAAAAATAAGTACGTCATTGATGTTAGTTGTCATGACAGGATTAGAATAAAATAAATTTAAACATAAATTAGAATTCCAATAGCTACCACCGAAGATGAAAAAGGGAACAATAAACCGAAATCTAAAGATGACATGCATGCAATGCCAGAAAAACTGAAGGTAAATCCTCTCTCTGAATGTGATCAATGAGCAAAATAAGTAGATACTAGACACACAGTTACTAGAACACAGAACCACTTTCCAAAACTAAGGGACAAAGTACTAATACTCAAACACCAAAATCGTTTATGGAACACCAAGTGAGAATCAAAATAGTATAAAGATTACTCAAAGTAAATTGGCGCTTCATTATTTGGTAATTAACAGGTGACAAGTTTTGTTACAAAGCACAATGATAGTTAAAATAAGCACTACGACAGTCCACTGCTCACAATAGGCCTAGACTAGCCTAGCTTTCAAGTGAGACTGAGAGATGGAAGACAGCTAAAGCCAGTCAATAATTCAAGGGTAAAGAAATGTCGAATCCTAGAGTTAGGGAAAAATGGGTCAAGATTGCAAATCTCACAAGCCCTCTTAAATTCTAGGATCACACATTTTGGTTCGAAGGTTTAAAGGATTCAAGACTAAGTAAGTACTGTTTGATGAACTATATAGAAGAAGATAAACTGTATAATGTTACATATTTATATTGTTAGAAATTCAATAAATAAGTAATGAAATATGTATGTGTCTACTTCTATTAACTAGGTGCACCCACTAGCACTAGCATGCACCTATTACTGCGAAAAGTAATGTTTGTTGTTTCTGCTTCTTTCTAGCTTGTTCCATACTATCGTTAAAGCCTGGCATATTAATATAAAGAAACCCGTAATAGCGTGTTTGATTTTTACTGATGCATTTTAACTTGCGCCGAATACTAAACAGTTATGTACCTGCAGAATTACGGGTTTACTTTAAATTATTATTAACAGTAAATGCTATTTCTTAATGCTAAAATACTACCCTGCACCTGCTAAATCACTTCATGAGTTTTTGAGGATTTTTAGTTAAAAAGGTATTTGAATTTGCACCAAGTAGGTATGGCTTGGAAATTTAAGAGTTCCTACAAGAACTGATAAAGCCACAAGGGAAACTTGGATGAAGGATTCAAGAGTGAATAACGTCCAAAAAGCAGTAGGTGTCTAGTTTCATTTTCTATTCCAGCTTATAGAAGAGCTTAGCGTTTACCCAGATAGTATCCATTCTCCCGTCAATCCACAAAAGCGAAGGCAAAGAAAACGAAAGCGAAGAGAATATATTAAGTGTAATGTTTGGAAGCGTGCCTAAACTTTACTGACCTACAAAGCAATTCATTGGTGCAACTTCACGACAACGTAACCATCTAACAGACTTGGAGCAGAGGCGGTACCTGATGTCAGTGATGAAATACAGTGTTATTTACAATGTTATGAGAATATTCCAGAAGTGCTACTAAAATGACGATAACATTCCCACAAAAAACATTATTATTCTCTTTGCTCAAAAATGTTGAATTCACATGAGTCATTATGTTTTTTGTGAAGATGACACTATTATTATTTGATGCGAACAGAACCATTGACGTGATAGGATTTCGTCATTGTGCAAGGAGCTCCGCAAATAACGATATATAATACGTGCATCATCATTATAATTCAGTGCTTGTTTTAACCTTTTTACCACCCATATATATCTTAATATTCATTTTATGTTTTAGTCATTGCCATTCGATCCAGGTTCAAACGATCTATTGAAACCATGGTCAATGATTTATTTTAAAGGTTGACTAAGTTATCTCATGGACTCAAAGCCATTGTATCATTACTTCATTTAGCTATGAATCCTGTCTAACCCCTTTAGTTTTCTAATACATTACAGTGACCAAAAATATGAACATGCAATTTTCCATATCTAATCATCAATCACACCCCAGAACCCCCAGTAACCCAGATCGAGTACAATGCCGTAGGATTACTGTTATACGCTTGGTATTCCATAAATTCATCTTTAGCGTTAAGGTATGAATTAGCTTGACAAGCCTAACACACTTTTGCAATACGTAATGTGAATGCATCCTTAATAACGTACTTATATCGCAAAAGGCATGATAAAATTACATGGACATCGTTCAAGTACTGCGTAGAAGATTGAGTCCATAAGGTTCTAAATTCAATGTGCGGAATTCCTTATCACAAAGACGCAGTTAGTGTTGCAAGAAATGTTGCGTTAAATCTTACATTTGTCATCGTTTCTCTCTGATTCTGCTGACTCCTCGCTGTTCATGGACACCATTGATATCCGCTTGTTACGCTGCTGCAGGAGAAGTTCTGGAATTGAGAAAAAAGTAATTAAAACATGACCGTCAAAACGTTTAACGGGAATGGTCATTCTAAGATTCTAATTACCACTTTATACACGACAGAATGATTATACTAAATGTATCGAGAATCTCCATTACAAGTGTCAAACCCATGGCAAATGAAACCGAAGAAGAACAACATTGTAATGTACCCATACAATTACATCAATAGCCATACAAATACCATCATAAAGTCTCACAATTACTCAACATAAACAAACAATTCAAATGACACAAAACATTATAATTTACGACACGGCAACGTTTATAAATTTTTGATCTTCCAGCTTCCGCCAATGAGACGTGAATGACGCCTCGTTTGTCAAAATAAAACTGAAATGTTTGTCAATGTTTAATTTAATAAGTTTAATAATTTAGATGACTCTTATTTGCTTATTGGTTCTGTCTTTTTGTTGGACAAAAGTGTAATAAAAATAGACTTAGATAATGGACTTTGAAGGCCGCGACGTAGCCATTTCAATCATATTATATCTAAATCATGTTTGATATATCTGCTACGGTATATCTATACTACATATACATGTATTGACCGCAGCACTACATTAAACACCTATATCTCCAGATAATTTATCAGCATGTCACGAATTTCTAAATTGTGTAAATGAACTAGTTGTCAAGGTAAATTGTGTTATCATTAAGGTTTTAATGTGATTATGTTTAATCATATATTATCAGTAAAATATTATAAAGTTAGACTTCCAAGAGTGATCATCGCCTTTGTGATTCTTCATGTTGATAAAAAAGAAGAAATAATGGAGATAGTTGTTCTAAGGTTTCATCGGTGTTAGATGCATAATATAGAAGCAGCTTTTCCACTATACGTAAACCATAAAATCTGCTCTAATTTTCAAAATTTCTGCTGTATGCATGAGCTGAACACCGTCTTCATGTCTTCATCATACTTTTCAGTTTCCTCACAAAGGATTCTCTTTTAAAAATAGTCCGTCTCACTTACAGTGATCTAAGTCTTACTTGAGAAACTTCTTTTAAGAAGTGGTTGCACATTGTCAAGGAATTTCTCCGCTAATTAATTGAATTAGCTGAATACTAATGCAGTACAGTAACGAGTGTCAGTGTCAATACAAATTTTAGAGTCGTAATTCATTTATAAGGTCGCCTGCTATCTTGGCTAAGCCACACCTGACTGCGTTATACGCTGATAACAGAACGGATAACGCCATTATTCCGCGAAAATATTCATACCCATTCAGTATAATTTATCGATTTCTACATATATGTATATGTATTATACAAATGACAAACTGCGTCAATGTGCATGATTACCTTCTGTGAAACTCTTGGTAATCGCGTGTACCTACTTACTAAAATTTAACCAGTAGTCAGTTTATCTGAAGCACGCATATGTATAATAACACAAAAACTATCAAACATATAAAACTGTCTAAGAACGTAAAAGTAATCACAAAAAGTAGAGAAGTCAACCTATGCATTAATAATGTTTTGCCTAAACCTAGTGAGCCCTGTCCAAATGTTTAGGAACAATTGCAAGACCCATTGGTGAATATAATACAACGTCCAACTACTTCGTATCAGATGAAACTGTGAGAACGAGCGATATTGTTGTTAAACCAAAATTCAATCGTATTCAATCGTATCGTATCGGACGTCGGCCGGCAGCGGTGGCTCAAACTACGCTATCATACAATAAACTCGACTGTCCAACAATAATATAATGGAACTCAATCGAACGCCCGTCACCTCCGACGATAGTTTAGATAATGTTCACATAATGACGCAAAATAAACTACGACAAATCGACAATAAAACGCCACTGTCTCGGTTACCCTACCCTACACGCATGATCCCAAAACACATATGTACATAAGTCGGCTACTGTGACTCCATGGTATGTTGCAATAGACAAAAGACCATTGTGCATTTGAGGAAATAGCAATTGTCGCTAAATAGCTCTGAGTAACAAAGAAACGCGTTACCAGAAAGATTTAAGCACCAGTTTACGCTTATCGCCGTAATCTCAGCGAGAAATGTGGCATTGTAACAGCGAGAGTTCAAAACGATAGGACCTACTTTCGTCGCAGCATTCCCTTGTGATACTCCTATCTAATTATCCGTAAGGAAAGGTTGTTCAAGTTAGATAATACGAATCTTCTTCAAAGACGAATAAAGAATACAAAGATATGGATCTTAAGAACGTGTGAAACGTTTTGTAGGACTGCTACTTAATTTTGTTTTACGCAAACCAGTAAACTGAGCGATCGTTGCATATTCGTTTGCATTTACAAAACAACGGCAGCGTCAAAGAAAAACGTCGAGTTCCTGCCGTTCCCACAGACAAGACGCATCGCTGTGCACATGCAACTTGCCAACGAGTGTCCAATAAAAAAGTGTGTCGTCGACCCCGCGTGCGTCAGCCTGTGATAAAGAACCCGCTCCTTCCGTCACGTATAATACGGGGAGCAGATGACGATCAATTAAAAAGTTTGTTCGCATTAACTATGCGGGAATTAGTTTGGTTCGGCGTGCGTGCCACATGGACTCAACGAATTTCTTTGTGAGAAATGCTCTCGAAGTTAACGTCATTGTTAGTTATCTTAATGTAATTTTAAGTACGTTGGTCATGAAGACATGATACGGTTGTTGTTCAATACAAATACAGTCTATCGGTATTCAATCACGAAAGTATATGGAAATCTCTGCAGATAGAGATTGGAGATAGAGGTTACTGAACTAATAAAATCAGCTTCCCAGTCATCATTTTGATGTTGAATTTATGACCATCGGCTGTTAAGATTGCCCTCTACAATTCTACATATAGATGCATTCATTGCGTGCATACATTACACTACATGGTCGTACGCAACGTTTGAAAGTTGATATAATATTGTATCGACTTAGGACGACTCGTTTTGTCACACCCCGCTGCGTTGCATAACGTTACACTCATCTTTGCATTGTTTACTATTGGACGTGTTTTGTGTTTGCGACCAACTTCAATAATGTACAATAGTGAAGTATGGAGAGTGGTGCGATATTTACGAGTCGCCGCAAACACAACATGATAAAACTAAAGAAAATAAACCGAGTACGTGAATTTTGTAGACAAACAACGGTAGCGTAGTGAAATGAAACAATAAATATAATTTGAATGTTATTGCTCATGTCAAACAATAGAGGGTGCTTAAAATTGCATCATTAGTCAGTGCATTGTTTCAGCGCTATGCCCTTATCAACACGGTCCCGATATTGATGGTCGCGTATCGCTAATCGTTGAACAACATCTACATTTTAACCAAAGCTGATAAATTGCCTCAAAACAATGCCATGATATCTAGATGGGTAAAATAATATTTTAGCTATATTACTGTAAGTGTTGATAGAGATAACATCAGACCTAGTTTTATTAACAGTATATGTGTACCGATTTATGCAAGTTATTTCAAACTAATTAATATGTTATATCTTTCCTGTGGCCTTTCTCGATTACGTTTCATATTTGAAACTTGTTTCTCGAGAAGAGTTTTCTTTTTCTCTTGGAATCATTTAACCATTTGCTTTAATCGGTACAACCAGTACAAGTTATGGTAACTGGTCTTGTTCATACAAATACAAACACAACCAGTTATTTCATTCATGTTGTGTCGAGGTTATGATTTCCGTGCGAAACAAGAATCTTACATTATGTGTGCAACGTCGTCTGACACTGTTTGCTTATGTGAATCGAATATCTATAAAATAAGTAACTGTTAGATGCTTGGGTACTTGTTCCTTTTCTTATGTAGTAGTTCTAGTTTAAATTTCGGATTGAGATAAATTGACATGCGTTTAGGTATGAAGTATAGAACTTCTGTCTAAAACCTGGACCGGCCAAGAAATTTTGAATTATTAATTTAGGCTGTAAGTGGGGATTATGGCAAACCTGTTATTTCGGCTAATGATAGAATATAGATAATACTAATTACCTTTCTTCTGCATAGCTTGCTCCCACAGCAGTGACGTGATGCCCTCGACCCATGCGTTCCGTATCGCCGGATCACTGGTCTCCAACTTGTAGGACTTGAGGTTCCTCTTCTTGTACCAGATCGTGAACTTGTGCTGATCATGCTCCTTCGCCGTTATCCCCAGGTCATCCACCGGTATGTCATCCTTGTATATGAAGTACTCAACCCTCGGTTGCTGTAATTTAATTTATAGTAATAGTCTGCGTAATGTTTCCTTATTGGATTTATATTTTAAATATGACTGTAACAATTAATGGCTATCGAAAAACCCAATTAGGTTTAATTAGATGTATCAACTAAAAGGTCGATCAACAAAAATGGAATTTATGTCATTGGGTCTACATTAAATCAGTTGATTTTGATCTTATTTTATTTGAATTTGGACGGATTGTTTTAATGTCAAGTTTATTTTTGCATGCCTAATATGTTGTTGTTGTTATTGGACAAAAGGTCGCATTAGTTATAGTGGTTTCTGTCGAATGTGGTATGTTGTAGTATTATATTTATGGAGATATTTGTACAATGGGGACAGTCTCCTAGCTACGTATTTCCTGTACCATCAAACAGCTGAAATCGACGATGCGTGGTAAATTAGTCGTTCCGTAGCATTGGCAAGGTCATTTAACTCTAGCCACTACAATTGCTATTGTGTACAAACTTCGTTACAAAAATATCTACCTCTACATAATTTTCTTTTGTGGTATTTGCTCCTAATGTACATTTTTGTTTAAGAAGCGACAGGTCCGTGACAATGACCTGTTGTGTACCCAGTGTCATGGTCTTGCTACCACCGTAGTTTTTTTTATGCCTGCATTGTTAAACCGTTTAACGTTACATTATTATTCAAACTTATTCTGAATACAGTCCTATACTTTGTTAACTTGAAGACAGTAGACATGGATACAAAGTTATATCAATACTGTGAGGCTGTGTGCGATGCGTGTATGAATGATGGAATACAGATAATTCTGCCGACAACGACGCCAGTGCGTCGCGTCACCGCAATAAACACTTCGTAACGTCCGACGCACAATATCTCATTATGATGCAAGTGCCGACGAATGATATCAAATTAAAAGTGCAAATAAAAAATAATATGGCGTGTAATTCTTTAATGCTGAGACAAGTAATTGTGAATGTAAAGCTCTTTAGTTTCCGACTTGAAATTCGCCGCGTTCAAGTCAATACTTGGCGAGTCATCTTTCTTTCAAACGTCACCCCTTGACTGATTTCTAAACGGCTTCAAAGGCATCTCGGAGTAAGTTGAAGTATTGAATGAAGCGCTTTCAACCTTAGAGTTGAGTTATTTTATTTTACCAATCTTCGAATTTATTCACGAAATATTACCAAAAACTAGGTAACTTGAATATCATAAAATATAGGTATACACATTACCTAATATACATACATGAGACTTGATTCACAACGTTGTTATCTCCATTCATCAATATGGCTAACAACAATGGCGACGCATAAAGAAAGAACTTCTGCGACTCTACACTAGCGCCACTAGCAAAGATATTGTTGCGTCAGCAACTTACTATCTGTATCAAAGGTTAATCCCTTTAACGTCAGTGATAGTGATAATATATTTTAGACTGAGTCATTTCCTTATAATATTAAACAAACAAAAAGTAGTTACGCTATCGGAACTGCTGTATTGGCCCTAAAATCGGGCCAGAAACCATACAACATACTTGAAAAGCAATAAAAAGTTGAAACCGATACATAATTACCATTAATTTTGTCATGAAATAGCTACCTTATCATATCAGCCGACAGTGGGCACAGACTGGTGTAATTATAATAATTTTATTGTTACATTGATAAATCGTGACTCACTAAATAATGAGTCACTCAAACAATGTTTTATTTGATCTATAAAATTTATCCACAACTCGGTACATCCGTAATCCGAAAACGTATATTGTTAAATACAGGAAAATAGCACTATATTAAAATAGTTTATTAGTGCGTACTTATAAGACAACCCGTCATCATAATTATTTAATGGATTTGATAGATATCTACTTATTTCTGTTAGAAAACACCGTGTACAGATTAAGAGAGCTTTTAAAATTGAAAAACCAAACAATCGTATCGTAGACTTTAATAATCGACTTCGATTCTCTTTGCGAATATTTTATTCATATCATAAATTTTGCGTAATTGTGCAATGAAAACACAACATAAATATTTATCTAATTAATCACTTACTTCAACAGTAATACTACGCAGAATAATAAAACAATCTAGTTTCTATTGTTCTTAACATACTGGTTTACTTAGAAAAACATAGGCGGTACCAAATATTGTCTAGGTACTAAAAATATGGGTCAAGTATGATTAGGCCGTAACCTCTAGATAACTTATGTACCTACTAAGATGTTCTCTGAATACAGATTTGGGATATATTCATACTCATTCTATCATATTTTTTTGTAAATGAATTGTCCTGTAATATAAAAAACGAACCTACCTCGGTAAACGGACAAAACATATATTTTTTGAGTCATTCCAGGTTTAGTATCTACCTCTACTCCTAAGTTGCTGAAATCCTAAACATTTAAGTTAAATAACATTTATTTAATACAAAGAAAAACATTGGGAAACTTAAAAATACATACGCGATACGCGTAAATACGTATAATCCTTACTAATATTATAAATCGGAAAGTGAGTTTGTTTGTTTGTTTGTTTGTTCCGCTTTTACGCCTTAACTACTAAACCGATTACTTTGAATTTTTGCAGATGTATAGTTAGAAGTCCGAATTAAATAATAGGGTACTTTTTATCCCAGAAAAATTTGATATTCCCGAGGGAAAACAAAAGTATTGGTATAGATGGCGCTGTGTGTATTCGTATATGTCACATTGGCTTTTTATCCTTTTGTGACGCGAGCGAAGCCACGGGTAAAAGCTAGTAACGTAATAAATTCAATTGAGAACATTCTAAAACTTTTCGGTTGATAGGAGAAAAGAACAAGCATTATCTATTTTATTTTGAAACTGTTGTTTTGAAACAAAGTTTTTGTTTGCAAGATAAAGGCGGGGCTGGCGATTGTTTCAAGCTGAAATCAAATCGTAAAAAATGTAATTCACATTGCACAACAACTTGCGAAGTTAGGATTACTTTGGTGTATTAATTAGGGTTATGTAGGTACTACTGCCTGTACTGCCCTGGTATTGTTTATGTATGGTGACGGTTTTGTAGAATACCTCTGTCACCATCCCTTCTCTTCGCGGAGGTGTCGTTAGAGACGACATACGGCCAAAATTAATAATCGATTTAAGTCGCCGCGTCGCAGTACGCGGAATGCTGCTCATGAATATGAGCCTCTAGCGTGGCTTGAAACTAGTCGAGTTCCTCGTCAAATAATTACGTAAGTGAGCCAAAAACATAATAATTAATTTAGTATGTCTTACGAAAGTTATAATCGACTTTCATCCAAAATCTTTGACTCAGATTTTAATCATTATCAAAAGCATGAGGTTTCTATTAAACATTTAGATCGATCCAGTAGGATTAAAATGGGCTATTGGTTTCTAGAATTATACGATTTATTCTAGATCCCGTAAAGTTTGTAGGCCCTTGGTAAGTGCTTCTGATACGAAGAGGAAGCTCACAGTCAGATGCTGTTGATATGATTAATTAGCCTTACATACTGCCCTAGTTTATTTACTTATTGATAAAGTCAACGTCACTTCACGGTCGCTATCCGGAAGATTTCAATATTATAGTATCTTTAACTTTAACGTACGCGCGTATCAAAATATTTACATTGTTATCTAAAATAACTATCGAAACCATTTCTGGTTAACTGTCGTCAATTTGTTTTGCGATAATTTTTACTTGCGTACTTTTCATCACACCTTTAAAACTATTTAGTTCGCTTTTCGTCAGGTATATTATGAACTGTTTGCAATACGAAGTTGTTTTGATAATTGAACTTCTTAGCAAACACACTTACGAGAAACTTTAAAATCGTATTATTTGCAACCACAAAAATCGGAAAATATTACCTAGCAATCGATCACGGATCATTATTCAAAATATAATATAGGTACCAACAAAGTTTTGTTCAAGAACGCTTGTCAATCAATTATGTTAGACGTCTTTTCTAGTCAAAACAGGGGTTGCCGAGCGACATTACTTAATTAATTAGCTGCTTAATTACTTAACCGACTTTCCGTAAAACATTAATTGATTCCTTTTAGAACAATTTTAATGTTGCCACATTTACATAATCTTTTGGTCTAATTTGTCATCATTGGCAATTGTCAATTTTGCTAAGCGATCATTATTATTGTCATAATCATCTAATTGAGTTTAATTGACAGTTTCACGCGTTTATGTTGCATTGTATGTATGTAGGTAATTATTGATATAATATACTTTCGATTAGGATTAAGTTACGCTGCAATAAGTGAATAAGTAGCCAGACACTTGAAAATATGCAAAAAACAACATCCTTTCTGTCTGCGGCGCATATCTATATATGTACGTAGACTACTATAGGACGTATGCACTGACCTTTCTATACACTACAGTGATGAGTACGAGCTTGTCGAAGAGGAATACCCTCATTAGTTGTCGGCGGCGGCGCGCAGTGTCCATCACGTAGAACTCGTTCTGTCGCAGCAAGCGGCCCTGGTGCAGCAGGTTCAAATATAACTGAAACAAACAACGATCAATAGTGTCGCGAATTAAATTAAAACCATCCCCGACACAAATAGATTTCGCATGAAACCTGCCCACATGTAACGCTCAAACCTTCCACGAATTTATAGTTCCAAATCAAAACCGTTAGCAGATTCACGAAACTGTTTTGTTTTTGTCCAACTATTTCTGTTTAGGTATAGCAATCGGTGTAATATGTATTGTTACGTATCTAGGGTATCTGCTAACAATAACGTGCAATTAATTATGCCGCCGCCATTATAAATTAACAGCATAATGCCCTCATTTATTTACCTGGTAAATGGTGTTATCAGAAAGGGAAAGCATTTACGAGTAGATATATAGGTGCTTAAAAACTTCAATCATATGTTTAGCTAAGCATTTGGAAAAAATGTCACACTAATAATTCTCTTTATCTCGAAACACACCTATCGGAGATATGATAAGCTCAGAGATAATAAACGCTGTCGATCGCCTGAGGCAAACAACGTTTATTCCAAATGACTAACTGGCATTATATTGCAGATTGTTATTTGCTTGTCTCTACATTAAATTTATTAAAGATAGTATTTTATTTGTAATCTAAAGCTCTTTCAAATCTAAGGGCTTGACCTGCCTGTTGATAATTATATCTACTCCCACACAATATTTGTAGTAGGTACAATATAATTTATTCGGAACTATGGTTGCAGACTATTTCGTCAGCTACCTATATCTAACAGTAAAATCCAGATTATTTACGTTTTTTTTTATTTTTGAGAAAGGACATGCAATATTATGCTACAATACTAGAATCAAATACGAAAGTAAAATCACTGATCTACTTACCGGACAATCTGTAATATTTTCCAGTGCCATAATCTCGTCGACGGCCGTTAAAACACATTCAACTGTGGTCTTCGCGAGCTTCAGACTTTCCAGAGGAGTCTCATCGTTGTCAGAAGACTCTCCGTTGCTGCCGCCAGTCTCGTCGCTGTCCACACTCAGCTTCGATATCCTCGACTCGGTTTCACTCCTCTCATTTTCATAATTTGAGTAAGTTTTTACTAAATCGGCCAAGAACAACTTGTACCTGGGTAACCTTTGCACAGGCTCAAGTAGGTAACTGGACAGATCTAATCGATCACCTAATTCTAATTGTATTCCCTGAAACGTTAATATCACATATTAATCATCAGCCTGTTTGGATATACATATATGTACCTATAAACGTTTGCGGTGGAATTACATTTAGTTAATACATATAATTGAATAGCCTTTCACCGGCTTTCATGCGTAATTTGGGTCGAATGATATGTGATCGCGATCGAGGTGTGGGATAACTGGGGCAGAATTTTATCCGAACAACTAGACTGAGAAGCTTCGCAGGAGGGAAATGGCGCGCGACAATTATATTAATAAAATAAAAACTTTCACTCAACTTAGACGTTTATGTCGCAACATTTAGCTTTTTTAGTCAAGAAAGAAATAACATTACAAAAATTATAACTTGGAATATAACTCGAGGAGAGAAGTTCCAGTACATTCGGACACATAATGCGAGAGAATTAAGTTCATTTGTATAATTAATGACTGTTTATACGTAACGGGATATTATTTTTGAAGCAGTGGCCGTCGAGTGATGCCTATGAATGTGCAAGTATAACGGTAGCAGCAACAGTTAAGCGGTTGCTACAACCATCCAGCCATCCAGCACACCGTACACTTTACAGAAATGAGGAAATAACGCTCGTCCATCGTGCACACCGAGACGTGCATGCGGCCAACCGATAATGTTTCTATCGATTTATTTTTTACGGTAATTCATACCACCTACTTATGTTGCCAGTTAAACCATAATTGCACTACAACTTAAATAGACCACGTACATATATAAAATCAAATGTTATTACTTAATTTTAATCTATTTCTATAAATACAGCTTGTGTGTGGGAGCTAACAGATACGGGGCTATGGTTTTTTTTCATGAACAGGGATTCCCGTAATGACATAGCGGATGTACAGCTAAAAATATCCTGAATTTTTATGATAACTCTTGTTTGATGATAACGTGTGTTTGTCATCAAAACAATAGTCATTAAACGACCTTAGAAAACTAAAACGGTCGGCTGTCAAGAGGGCTTTCACCTTTTGTCGTAATTGGATGTCGCAAAAAATATCATGAAATAAACTTACCTGGAAAAACTGTTTGTGTTCGAATACCAGTCTCGTCGCTCTCTTATTATTCCTAGAGTACATTACGTACATATTGAATCTCTTTTCCTGCAAACAAAATAACGTGATTGTAACGTAAATCTTTCCCCGTATTGTTTATATTGAATTCGGTTTTAATCAATCAAACGTCACGTACATTAACCGCGGCCATTATTTTTGATTTCCGATAATACGAGCTCGCTAATCTAAGAGAAATTCTGATACTTTCTCCAATAACAATTGTACTAAGTAAAACTTAAGGTTAGGGGCTAATGTGGCGGTAAGGTAGGTAGGTACTGTGAATAATTGTCAAGCACGTAGATAGTGCTGGACGATTTAAATGTGACCCGTGGTTGTTTGGACGTTGCCTTGTTCTAGTCTGTTCTATCAAAGAGAACTGTGAAAGAAGAGGGTCGTGTTAGCGCGGTGCATGGCATGGAATCACGCGCTCCGGCAGACCGTGACACCGATGTTTTTATACCGATTTGCACATAATCGGTCATTACATTTACCATTTACTCTGGTTAGGAAAGATAATTGTTTCAGGGTGAGTATTGACGGCTTATTGTCATTATCATGTCGAAGAGTTAAAAATACTTTTTGGAACGTACGGATGTGATCATTGTAATTATTAGCCACTCATACGTCAGCTGTTTATTTGTGACATTGTCAAAATAAAAACTTATATTCAAACAAAAACAAATGAAAATTGTGAATACAACTAAAACATATTTAGATTTTTAATTATTGTTTGGCATTGATAACAAAACTACCTCCTATTTATCTTGATTTATAATTACACTGAATCTAAAATATTAAATTACAAAAATCTAATAAGAAACACTTACGTAATGCCTAAAACACTGTCCCAGCTTCCGAAGATCATTTTCACAGTCTCGTAAAGCAGGGAGGAACTCTTCAGAATGAAACCTGAAGATCTTCTCAATATTGCCGAAGATGTCTGCCTCCAACGCTCGGAAGTAGGGGGATATGTCTGATCTTCTCATGTTGGGCATATAGTCTTCTACCACGTGTCTCAACCTTTCCACGTAGACGTTCTCCGTATGAACCAGCTCGTTCACTCGTTCTGTGAGTCGTCTGCAAAGGAAATTGAACCTTGTTAAAGAGTTTGTTCCTTATATTTAAAAAGTATTAAGGACTGCCTCTTTGCTGGAGAGACAATCACGACTGGTAATGAATCTCTGGTTGTTTTTTGGTCAAGTAAAAATCATTTATTTCAATTAGACCAGAGAGGAACTTTTGAACTTCAACAAAAAAATTAAAATTGAAGCTTCTTCATTCCAAATGTACATTCCTATGAAGAAGAACGAGCAAGAAACTCCATAGGTTACTATTTTTCAATAATATAATCAGGTCATGAAAATTATTGATTTAATTTTTTAATTTTCAGTACTTGCTCAAATTGTGGTATTATGTTAGGTGTGTAGGCTCATCTCGTATGCACAGAACTCATGACGTAACTTTTGAAAAGTAGTATTAAATTATCATTATATGCACTTCTAATTCTTGGGAAAATAAATAAGATACCGATGAAGATAATTATGTTGTATTGAATTAGTACGTTGTGCCCACTTGTGTACCAAGGACTGATAATAAAAACCCCCAATGTTATCAAATGGGTATTCCTCTTGTTGTTATAGGGAAGTGCGACGCAAATTAAAATTAATTTAGACCAATTTAATACTGTTGCTACCACTAATTATTATGAGTAGGAATTTTGTGCGTTTATGATACTGAACACTTATGAAAAGTAAGTATAAATGTTTAATTTTGGTATTTTACATATTTATTATATGAATTTTATTCTGATATTTACAACAAGAGCACAGCAATTCTCCTATTTTCAATCGCTGTAACACGATAAAAAAACTGCATATATTAATATGGACTGTTCATACGTAATTACACATCTATTGAAAAGTACTAAAAGGACGGTTCTACCTATCCCTTTGAGGAACAACAGGGACACAGGCAATTTTATGATATTATGACCTATCACACCTTTGTTCTTCAAGTTTAGCGTATACGTTACATAAATACATATATTTAGCTTCTTATCTTTGTGTTTACTATCCGTGAATGAGTCGACTCACCACTTAGCTTTATCATAATAAAACATACGTAACAAATAAGTAAATATTTAATATTCATTCTTTCAACAATTATTTAACATAGCCGTTATCATATTGCCAAAATACGCACTACAACATTCCGTTATTACTATTATTTCTACCAGTTTAGGAAAATTATCTAATCTACATTCCATTCTTTTCCTTTCAGGAAAATAGGTACACATTAATGTTACATGCCATCACGCTTTTCAATTTATTATAACCACCTATTTTAATTCAAATCGAAGCAAGCGTATCTAGTATCTACCAAACTCCATGCAAGATTCTACATTTTGTGCCTTTGATTGTTACACAAGTCAATATAGTTAGACGTACCTATAACCCTAATAAAATACTCATCTATGCATTCACACTACTGCACACAGCACAATGGACGATCCAAGTGAAGCTAAAAATATCTTTATCATTACTTTATCAAACAGGTCAAGATTGTTCCACCGTCAATAAGGACTTAAGGATATTGAGAGCACACGATAAAATATACCACTTCCTACATTAATATTGTATCTGTCCGTCAATATATTAACTATAGCTAACAACTAACTGCCATTGAGACAAAATTAATACAATCGAAACGTTTCGGCAATATTATATTACCAATTTCGTAAGATTACCTTGAAATATTCAGTATAGAAATTTATTTAATTACGAAAGTACCGGTTGTTTTGTGTGTGCAAATGTGCAATGGTTTCCTTGCCAGACTACGTGGTGCTAGGTTCTACTGGGCCGCGTAAGTGGGTTGATTGACAGCCAGATTCCTATCTAGGTACCAAGATAACCTAGATACAAATACAATTATAGTAACAAGGCAGCGATGACCGTATCATCGCTGTTCCGTGTACTAATCTCACGACCTTTGGGGAATTCCTATTTTTAGGAGTAAACAACGATAATGTTAGTAAATGTTTATTCATGTATGTGTTCTTAAACTTTGTACCTGTCCGAGGTAACTGTAAACGTTCGTTGCTCAATGTCTAACTTTAATCATGCTGTGTTTATAAACCTACTCCTCATTTCTATTGTTACCTGTATTTTGCTACTTAAAACACAATATTGTACAGACAAAGCCCTGTGATTAAACAAAATGTAAAACGATCACAAACATCAACTTTAAGTGTAACCAAATAAGAACTAAAATAAAACTTAAAATATAATGAAAAAAATGTTAGGAAGCTTCCATTTTATTCATTGAGTTATCTATCTATCTGTGTGTAATCTATAGCAAGGGCAACATAATTAAATTTAATCAGTTGCCAACAATTCGTTATAATGTTTTTCCTTGTATTATCTTACCAATTCGAATACCTAATTGTGGAATCGATTCTCGGTTTAAAATAGCTTCGATTGTTTCAAACAAGACTAGGTTTGTTTTGACTTGTTATTCACATAATATTTTCAGATCAGGCATCTATGCAAAGATTGCGCTGAGGTATTGAATAACAAACAAATCGTTTGAATTCGATAGCCTGGGAAGTATTACGATACTAACGCTTTCCTGCGTCGCAATAAAAGGGTGATATCAATCTGATAGCTGCTTCAAACAATATTATTTCTGAAAGTTCCTTTAACAAGGATGCATGTGGATATGCGACACTCTTCCTATGAAACAAGGAGATAGTATATTATATCATACAAGTAGTGAATACGACAAATAAAATTGTATTTAAGTATCTACACAGGTAGAACAAGATAGACTTAACAATAGGTAAAGTAATTAGAAATTCTCAGTTGTAGCACGTATTCTGGATTTGTGCCCAATGTGTGTCAAGCCCTCGCCGCCCACCACAGCCAGTGAAAATTTGCTGCAAGTGTGTTAGCATACAAAATTAATGAAGCCTTATACTATTAGGTTACCATCCAAAATCCACTTAGGAAATAGAAAGAGGATCACGAAAATACCATTGAACATAACATTTTTGAACAAATGTACATATGGACAGATATAACTCATCACAATCCAATAAAACCTCAATTAAGATAATCACTTTCATCATTAGTACATTTATCTATTAACAGATTTTGTCAAATTTGTATTTTTGAGTGACATCTACATTCGTTCAAATACGTATTTAAACTTGGCTACGTTTGTCAGTATGATTCAACAATAATAAAACAATATAATGCGGGAAGTTACTTAGAATGCAAACAACGTCTTTTGTAATATAGTTCTAATAAAGAAACGTTAAAGGTAGGTAATAATGCATTGATTCTGACTACGAAGTATCTTATGGAATCGCAAAATTCTTTAATAATGTTTGTTAGTAAACTTGATGAATTGATTGAAATCTGCATGTTTTATTTATGATATGTTTATGATATGATTCTATGTCTATTTTACAATTCTAATTATGTTATGAATATCATGCAATGTGATATGGATCATCAATAATTACTGGAATTTAGTCAAGAATTCGAAAACAATTGTTTTTATATCCTTTCTTTCTAGATCAAGAAAGAATGACATTCCGATTTCCCTTAAATTTTAATGAAATTGGTATGCAAGGTTTATTTTATTGAAACTCAAATATCAACGTACAATTCATAAGGTAAAAACCTTATGAATCTTTCTAACTTTACTCAACCCATTGTGGAAACTCTATAGTACGTCTTGTTACCTATTAATTACAGCTCTATTGTAGTTTGTATTTTAGTGGTTGAGGTCAACGCGCCATCATCACCATCATCTATTTCACAAACTTAATGTCATGATTAAAAAACAGCTAGAAGGCAAAAACCAGGTTTCTTTGCTTGCGTTTATTCGTATAAAATATCAGTACTAATAAAACTCATTCAGCCCTATATTATCAATTAATCAAATAAACAAGTTATTAGTAATCAGTATATTTTTATCGTCAAACGATACTAAAAGAACGCGTGGGGAATCCACATTTCTTGATGATGTAATGGTCAGCATTTGTAGCAACGTCATCAGCTAATAGGTACAAGCGAAAGCGACAGATGACTCATTGATTTCACCACAAGATATTTGAATAGTACTACAACATACATTCATAGCATACACTGAAGCGATCACCTTCTAATATTATCTATGGAACATATAAATAGATACTTAGATATGTATGTATAGCATTTCTGTACAAAATAACCTTGATGGTTTTCCGTGATTTACGTAAAACTGAATAGTGAGACTGAAACGTGGTCAGTGATAAAAGTAACTAGAATAATAATTTGTATTCTTTGCACATAAAGAAACGTAAATACAAGAGCAACCTTGGCATCCACACCGACGCTTGCGCATCTGTATAAAAATATAACGCTGTGACGTCACGGACCTGCCAAAAACGGTGATGATGAATATTAACTAGTATTTATTTATTCGTTATCAATGTATCAATGTTAGCTACCTTTGCTAGTTTGTTTTTGATTACGATCTAAATTATTTTACATTATTCGACCGTTACAGAATTTTGGCAACAATGCGGTAAATTCTACGTCACAATTCTCCGAAACAACGTACCAGTTATTCGGAACTTGTGATATTCGGTATATTATTCTAGAAACTCGATTTAACTGCCATCATTTTTATCGTTACATTTTGGAATGCACCTGTTTCATAAAAATAGTCTAATTTATTTCAAATATTGGTTAGTTACAAAATAAACGTAATTTCAGAATAATACATAGTCTAAAGCTACAATAACTAATAAATTAGTTTATTCTTCATAGAAAACAACGCTGTACTGGTTGGCATTTCCGCAAACCAATACATAAACGGATAGAATAACATCAGGTTGGGAAATTGGGAAAGCCAATGTTATTTTAATTTCATAGAAACATTAGCTATTAGTAACTAATAGTCAATATTTACAACATTCACTTATAGAAAATACTGCTAACAGAAGATTAAATTGTAAATATGTAAGGCCAAGGATACATAAACATATTACTTGCATGCACTACGCTCGATTAGATTATTCATCACAC